TTGGTGATTTCAAATATCAACATTGGCTACCAGAAATCACTTACTCTGCCTTTAAATGAACAAACTTGGCGTTGCATTTGCAACCATGTGAAAACAGGGGGTGCTGCAGCCCCCTCAGCACCCCTACTTCCCCGCGTCCCTGCATGAGGGTGAGTTTTTTCTTTTTTAGTTCATCTTTTTAAGTGAACTATCCCCTTTAATGTCACTGTACTATTATTAGGGATGCACCAATATTAAAATGATTCTTATTTTCATGTATTGGCAAATAATCCATAAATGGCTGGTATTAAAATTATATACTATTTTGTCTAAATTAATAGAAATTAAGACACTAAAAATTAAAATCAGTCATATAAAGATTAAATTTTACCATGTTAAATTATCAGATCATTAAATTATGTTTTTAAATATTAACTTTAAGTGAGCATTAGATGATGTTTAAGGTAATCTAAATGTAAAAATTTGGGAAATTAACCACACAATTAAATACTCCATATTGGCCAATATGTATCAGGCTACATAATCTGAAGCTGAAAATGAAAGCAACCGTCAAAGGGGGCTGTACTCACAATGATGCTCTTGCATTCGCGTCCTCTGCACAGCTCAGTGTAAGTTGAGTACTGCACATACACAACCCAACTGCCCACAAACACAGCAAGCCATGTGAGAAAGAGATACTTTACTCGAATATAGGACAGGCGAGCCTGAGGGAAAGGAAGTAGAAAGTAAACATAAGCCCAGGTCTGTGAACTTTAACACAGTCTTAAACTAAACACAAATCCTGACTGAACCCAATGTCAAGTGTTTACTTATAGTGTATTACTCTGTCAAATTTCAAAACAGAAAAAGAGGCTGAAAAAACATGAATGTCAATACTTGTCATACAGCAACTCAGCAAGTTAACAACAACAACAACAAACTCCTGCTACAACATACCCAAAGAAATACAACCATCAACAGTGAACAAACCACTTATTTGCTAACTACCAGCCAATGTCATGAAATGAGTACAGCCACGTTCTGATCACACTTAACTAAAGCAAGGTTTAGTTATAATCATCCACTACATTAACTCATTTTAATGAAGTCCCTATGACAGACGGCCTAGAGGCTGTTTCTGTTAGTTCACTTGCACAAGGCTTTTAAACTAAAAATATACCTGCATGAAGCTTTATGCCCCAGGAATGAAAAGCATGTGGTTACAAGAATGTGGTTACTTCAGTCACCAAAGCTTTACCATGTCACTTTAGGCAGATCAAGCTTTACAGCAGTTCAAAGTGAAAGGCCTCAGGGGGCATCCCCATGTAGGGTACAATAACAGCCAGAAAAAAGGTCTTTATGGGCTATTTGTGCTGTGGTTTCAGACATCATGAGTAGAGCATATACAGTAAAATAACTCTCCCGTTCAAAAGATTGGGGCCAATAAGATTTCTACGTTTTTGAAAGAAGTCTCTTATGCCTACAAGGCTTCATTTATATGATTAAAAATACAGTAAAAACAGTAATATTGTGAAATATTACAATTCAAATTTTTTCTGTTTTAATATATATTAAAATGTAATTTATTCCTGTGATGGTAAAGCTGACTCTTCTGCAGCCATTACTCCAGTCTTCAGTGTAACATGATCCTTCAGAAATCATTCTAATATGTCGATTTGGTGCTCAAAAAACATTCCTTATTACTGTGACACTGTCACATAAGAGACATGTTTTACCACTCTATTTATTACAATTATTTTATGTATAATAGAGTGTTAACTGGTTTACATGTTTTCCTAGTCCATTTTATTCCTCTTAACATTTGTAGTGTGTATGTCTTTAAGAAATGTATGGTTGGCCTGTCATATGACCAGTCACATGACAGTAATCAGGAACTGTATAAAGGGAGCAGCATGCCAAACAAACCGACAGTCACTACTGGCACTAAATAGAACTTTCTGGATTGTGGAGTTTCCAACTTTTGGACTTCCCTCTCCAGTCACAACTTTGCAACCAATTGGATTATCACTTCTTTTGGACTGTATTAGGGATATGCCGGTATCAAATTTTCATGTTGTGATTAATTGCTAATGCTTTTATCACGGTATGCGGTGTTATCACGATATTTAATTTTCATTTTTGGGTGAACTAACACTTTAAGTGTATTAAAAGGCATTTTTGTGGCTAAAGTACAAAATATTCCACAACAATTAGTCAAATTTATTATTTAATTACTTTGCAAATGCTGTAAAACATGATACATCTTCAGATTAAGTTTAAAGAATAAAAACCAATACTTACAGTCATTTTGTTATTTTATTTGTTCATTAAATCTCTTAAAGGTACAATATGTAAGATTTTCGTAATAAAATATCCAAAAACTACTTGCACAGTGTTATATATTTTATGCAGTTGTGTATTTATGTTATTCCAAAAGTTCCCAAGGATTTGTAAATCCAGAGAAATTCCTATTTTAAATAATTGGGCGAATTCCAAACGGCTTTTTTGCGCCCTTGAAGGGCACTTCGGGAAGGGGACGCCATTTGTAGGGACGTTCCAAACGAAAGTGAACAACTGAATCCCTTCGCGAAGGGCCCTTCCAGAAGTCCGTTAGCGAAGGGAACATGCGATGGTCACTTCACGGAAGTGATTTCCATTTGTGATCATGTGATCTTCAGTTAGGAGATCTTGCGACGCATTTTAAAGCAAAGATGTGGTTGATTTCGACACAAATGTAAGTAGGATAGGCTAATTAAATTGGTCTTTATTGTAATGTAATACAAAATATTTTTCGTCAGAAATATTTTTTAAGATGGTAGTGTAAGCAAGTTTAAGCAAGTTTAGTTTGAAAAAGCTTAATAGTAAATAAGACACAATTAGACAATATTTGAATAAAATAATAATAATGAGAAGAAATATATATTTGCAACAACTGATGGAGTGCTGAATGCGGCACGCACACGCAGCGTTGTCAAGCTAACATTTGGTCAGTCATTCCCTTCGCCAAGGGAGCTCCAAATGCTTATACGAGACAGTAATTCCCTACACCCTTCAAAGAACACACTTCAAGGGCTCTGCCCTTCGAAGGGAGTAGGGCATAGCGATGCTCACTTCCGTTTGGAATTCGCCCAATGACCACTGATCTATATATAATGAACTAAACTATTACGGCTGTCACGAATAAATTGAAAATGAAATGAAAAGTGTTGACCGCAGCATTACATTTAGATCTGCTCAGTGTTGCGCCATGATTTATTATGCGTTTTTACAGTGTTGCGCATTATAACCAATCACACACGAGTCTGTTGAGCTTATGAATGCAATGGCCAATCAGAGGCGTTCAGATGAGTTTTTGTTCAGTGCACGGCGCTCGCTGACTGAATTCAGCTCTCACGCGAATTCTCTCATCATAAACAACAAAGCGCAGATGTACGTATGATGTAAGAGATGTTGCAAAGGGGTGGAAAATTTCCATGGGAACTTCGTCTGGGGAATTTTTGGAAATATTCCAAGTTTGAAACTTACCAGGAATTTATGGGAACTTACAGGGAATTTATGGAAATTAATTGAAAATTTGGGGAAATTTATAAAACTATCATATACAACAGTGGTGGGCCGTCAGGGCCAGCAAAGCCTTCTCTGCTGGCCTAAACACTATCAGAATCACTGATTTAGTTTTAATATATTTTTCCATGAATGTGTATTAAATTATTTCCAATAGTCTATTCTCTTCAGTTCATAGCTTTTCTCTTGGTTGCACTGCTTCCAGCAGTGTATGTTTATATTAGAGCTTTTATCCAATCATATTTCAGCAATCGTGTTGCCAGGGTCAAAGAAATCTGCATTGAGGCCTTCAGAATTATCAGCTGAAGGCCTAGGTGTAAAATGCACGGCCCGCCACTGATATACAAACATAAATATAAACATTGTGTTTCATCATAGGCTCACATGTATGCAAACTAATACAAATTTTAAAAATGACATTTTTGGATTTTTTGGGGGGAATCTGTGATGCTGAATTTTGAAAGCACAACGGTTTCCAAAATTGATTATAAATAAGATTATTAGAATGATTTCTGAAGAATCATGTGACACTTAAAGACTGGAGTAATGATGTTCAAAATTCAGCTTTGCATCACAGAAAAACATTATATTTTAAAGTATATTAAAACAGAAAACCATTATTTTAAATTGTAGTACCAGTAATACTGCGCAATATTACTGTTTTGTTCTGTATTTTTGATCAAATAAATGAAGGCTTGATGAGCAAAAGATATGCAATGTTTAAAACATTACAATAGTAATGTTTCCCAACTTTTGACCAGTACTGTACTTCTGTATGATAACAGAAAACTGGCTAGCAGAAAGAGCATCACAGCTTGAGCTAGTTTATACCTCAAATTGTCAATGAAATAGTGCTAACTCGCTTAGATTTTTCATATCTTGATTTTACTGGCTAGCTAGCTACTGTAAAAACACTTTTTGGTATTTACTAGTTAAACTTGAATCCCAGAAAACGAAAATATTTAGAATATCAAAACTTAGATGTAGTCTTTGGGCTCAAATGCAGCAAGTGTGGCTTCAGAGAAAATGGAGGGGAATCCCCCTCTTAGGTGACTAGAGGGGATTGTGTGGGGGGAGGGTCATTTTTAGACTTCTGTTTTATTATTCTCTCACCTAAATGTTTGTTCCAGTTTATGGTTTGTTCAGTCAGTGTATTTGTTTTTACAATGGAATTGTTACGGAGTAACCAGAACATGAGACTTGCGGATCCATGTGCAAAGCTTTTATTAAGACGTGGTCATAAACAGGCATAGGTCAGACATAGGCAAACTGGTATGTAGAAGACAAGGCAAGGGTAGTCCGGTAAACAAGCGAGGGTCAGTCGACGACGAACGTAATCCAACAGGGCGAGACTAGAGAGATAATCCAGGTACAAAGCAAAGGTCCAGGCAGGGGCAAACAGTATCCGAACAGGGCAAGACGAGAGAGGTAATCCAAAGTACACAGGCAATGATCAGAAGACGAGAAAACAAACAAGGCAAGACTAGGCTAGACTAAGAAACTAGAAATGGCTCCGTAGAGTAGCTATCGCTAGGTGAGTGATAAGCACTAAACAATGGAGCTGGGACCCATGGCAGCGACTGGGGCCTAGGGAAAACAGAGACAGACAATGCAGGGGCCAAGGCAGGGAACACAAGGAGTTCATCAATGTTCTCTATGGCAGTGACGGAGTTAAAGAGACAGACACGGAGTGCATTTATAGTCCTTGAGTTCATGACAGACAGAGCTAAGAGTTCAAAGGAGGATTTTTGGGCGGTGACAAGGCTACTAGAGCCTGCAGGGAGTTCAGGTAAGGTTTCTGGGATCGTGATTGGACTAATGGGGCAAAAAACATGTTCATAGATTGAAAGTACTAAATTGGTATTGATGGTGGGATCGGAACAGACAGTAGAGTTACCATCAGGCTCATTGCGGGAAACAGGACAGACTGATAATTCAGAATTAGGTACATGTGGGAGTTGTGGACTGGCAGACAGATCAAGACCGGGTGCATTGATTGAAACTAGATTGGTAAACAGTTCAGTGAGCAGGCTGAGAGTTCACAGACGGCTTCCATAGCAGTTTCAGGACAGGCTGAGAGTTCACAGACGGCTTCCATAGCTGTTTCAGGACAGGCTGAGAGTTCACAGACGGCTTCCATAGCCGTGACAGGACAGGCAGA